CGAAGTGGCTTGGATTAGCGATTTTTTGTGAAAAACGCGTTTCGTTCCAACGCCAAGCTCGACTGGTCAAGGTCATAAAAATGATAGAACGCCGAATAATATTTTTTATGCAACCTACACGTCAGGCGTCAAGTACGTAAATTCACCACGACCTGACTTGTCATCACAACGCCATGCGACATCAGGACGACGCCTTGACGTCAACGTCGTCATTGACGTTGACAACGTGCGTTAGTTACACGACATCAAGACTGCGGTCTGACGTCATATTGGGTTGACAACGACGACTATGTCAACCAGTGGCATACCAACTTGCTTTTGAGTGGGGGGGCAAACCAGACCCCCCCCCCCCCCCAGGGGATCCCTTGGGTGCCGCCGGCCAGTGTTTGCCCTGCCCAGTGGTGGCTGTTTCAGGGGGGGGGGGGGCAAAACACATGCCTTGCCCCCCATTCTGAGAAATGGGGGGGGGGCCGGGGAAAGCGCCCCCTTGCCCCCCTGGTTGGTACGCCCATGCTGTCAATGTTGACGTTGATGACGACGACGACAACGTCACGGGACGTCAAGATGACGGCGTCCTTGTTAATGCAACGTCATAAGGACGATTGGTGTCAGTTCGTTGACGTCGTTGTCGACACGACGCAACTCGACGTCACGAAGACGTCCCGACAGCTTCACGACGTCGACGTCATCGTCGACGACGTTACATGACGTCAAGACTTCGTCGTGACTGCGCGTCGACGTTGATGCTGGCGAAGGCGACGACGTTACACGCCGTCAAGGTTTCGTCGTGACGTTGACGTTCACGATGACGTCAGGACGACGTTAACGTGACGTTGTAGTGATGTTTGACGTTGCGTAAGGCGTCGACGTCAACGTCGGCATCGACGACCTCGTCCACGTCGTCCTCGATACGGCGCTCGACGTCATGACCGCGTTACAACGGAGACTTGATGCCGCGTAACGGCGTCGGCCTCAACGCGACGCGATGTCACGACCGCGTCACAACGGCGACTCGATGTCGCGTAACGGCGTAGTCCTCAACGCGACGTCACGACCGCGTTACGATGGCGACTTGATGTCGCCACTCGGCGTCGTCCTCGACGCGATGCGATGTCACGACGGCCTTACGACAGCATCTTGGCGTCGGGTAACGTCGTCGACGATGACGTCGCGGCGTCGTCGTGTCGTGGTGCTTTGACGTCACCTATGACGTCAAAATCATAAAAAACACAATATAGCCCCTAAGGGGCTATATTGGCCATATGACCTTGACCTGTGTCGTTGCTTGATCCCAGCGAAGGTGGCGCTGCGACCGAAGTGGCTTAGTTTCACCTGATCGCATTCCACATTTTGAGGTGAAACTGAAAGCATGAGCGGAGCTCGTACCTCCTATACTCTTCTTCACCTTGTGTCGTACCGCAGAAAAGGCTACAAGCGCGAGCCTCTTGCTCTAGGGCGCATCGCGGCGGCACAAGCTCTCGTGCACCAAGGGCAGCTGCCAACACTATGAGCTCGCGCTTCTAGCCTTCGCTGCGGTACAACATAAGGTGAAACGGAGTGTAGTACACTCTAGCTGTGCCGCCATGATCTTCCCAAGGGCTGCACGTTGCACGTGCCTCGCGCGTGCATCGACGCACCTTGCACTACTTTTAAAGCATGAGGGGGCTTTGGGTGGGCGGTGTTCGTTTTTCTCGACTTTTTTCTGCAACTACCATTGCGTATAGAAAAAAAGCAGCGTGTGTTTCATAGGTAAAAAAATGTCAAGATATAATTCAAAGCGGTTTTTATTGAAAGTTGAAAACTTGCTGCATCGGCACTTTAAGGATTGGAACGGGAGGGAGTCTTTCAGTAAATTCTGCTTTATCGACGGAAATAAGAGCAATACCAGACTGTCAACTTTGACTGTGTTGAGTGCATATTAGAGGGTATTGAAGTCAAGCATATTGATTACCGCAAATAATCTTCGTCGTGACGTCAAACGTACGAAAAATCCACGCTCGTCACCGCGCGTTCTCTCGTGCTGCTCTTGTTCAGCGCCTATGCCCTGTTCACCCTTAAAGGCCGACGACCAGACTCGAGATTCTGCAAGGCAGAAGATCCTCCTCACAAGGGGGAGGACGAAACAGCCAGCGGTGGACAGGGTAGAACGGGGGAGAGGAGGAAGCGAGGGAAAAGTGGAAAGCGCGAACTGGTCGTCGGTCTTCAAGCATGGTGTAAGATAATACTCTTCAGGTGAGGACAGCACGCTCCTCGCGCAGTGCAGATAAAGTTCGCTTTTCACTCTCTCTCTCTTTCTCTCTCTCACTATGGTTTCAAGTGGCGCCGGCAGATAACTCGTCGACCCGTGGGCACGGCAAAGACGGCTCGTGCCGCCTCATGCTCCACACGCGCAGAGCTCCAGCGAGGGTGTCGCACGTGGAGAAAGACCACGGTGTACCGGGGTGTCATGGCAACGAGATAATTTTTTTTTGCTCTCACACAGTTTCGCCATTTGGCCGCCGGCGACACTGTCAGCCACGGGCACGGTGGCCGCGGAATAATGCAGCCTTTCGGATGCCCGTTGAACGAACACTATCTGATTCCTCGCGCCGTGCGTTCAGCCCCGCCGTGTCCTCACCTAAAGAGTGTATCTCAAACCGTGCCCTTAAGCTAAGACTTGAAGCTCCGCCTTCAGCGCGAACTCGCAGGCTTCAGCAGAGCTTTGGCTGCGCGTGGCGGCGCGTTCTCACTTGAGTTATCAAGGCAGAAAGCTCGCGCTGAAGGCGGAGCTTTTAGTCTCAGCTTAAGGGTGAACGGAGTATAACTGTCTCGAGCTTTTGGAAGGCATGCAATCGTTTGGTGTCCTCCTCTCTGCGTCTTGAAAAACGTCACGAAGATAAATGGATCTGCGGGTTTGTGAGGAAAAGAAAAATATTTGCGGTAATTTTTCCCTTTCTCTTTTCACTACGTCATAACACAAGGAATCTTTGTGTTTTACGAGACTCGCGATCCTGGACGCAGCACGTTCCTTCTGCAATAGTTGCTTCTCCTAATGCTTTCTCTTTATGTGGCAAAGCCAGCTTCTAGATAACTCTTAAAAGAAGCACAGAATCGTCTATTTTTTTTTATCTAGTGGGGACTTCTGCGAAATCGAGGGCACCTTGCGGCTAGAATAAAAAGCTGTACGTAGCAGCACATGCAGTTCTCTTTCCACTTGCAAAAACAAATTGCAAAATGAAGAAAGAATATGCAGTTCTTGGCGCAATACAGTTTACAGTTGAGTTTTCTTGTTTAAACTGGACACACTGAATTACATAATATAAATCGCTAAAATTTGGTTATAAATACACAGTATGCGTTGTATTGTCCATTTTCTAGGGAGATCCGATGAAAGTAATGCAAGATATTTAGAAGAAATCCGCACTGCATTTTTTTTCTCACTGCAGAAATCAACGACGCATTGTATTCGCTGAAGGTCGAGTCTCCGATCGCGAACGTAGAGCTGTCAGTCCGGATAAGAATCAAAGTTCTAGAATTTAGCCTCATCTGATTCAAAAGTTATGACCGAGTCTGCTGAAATTTACAGTGATATAGGTCCCGTTCCCGGTAGCAGATGAAATTTGTCACCCATGTATTAGCGAGCTCCTTTAGCCATAATATTTACTCATTCATACTACTTTATAAACTCTATTCTATCTTTTTAATTAGATAGCGGTAGATCCTTAAACTTGCGTGGTAACTGAGCGTTCGGCAATACGTAACTTATCTTTGTCCAAAGAAAGAAAAGAACACAGTATGCATTTTTTTCTTCTAACGTCTTGCCTATTCATGATCGTTATGAAACAGCATATATTAATGGAGGGGGATCGGTAGCCGAGTGGGCTGGCGCACACCAGCTCCGAACACGTGGAGCGAAAGCTCGCGCTGCAGAACCCAGAGACCCTCGGTTCAACCCCCACCCCTGGCCCGTTTCGAACTGGATGAGCATCGCACCGGCGTGCGGTCGTGTATCACTACTGCGTGATGCACGTTAAAGACCCCAGGCTAGCGGTTGTACAGCACTGGCTAAATTTCTCATCTACAGTGGGCAACAATATCGCCATGTTCCTGGAAGACTAACCTCCCTCTGTATAAGGAACTAACGACTAATTACGACAAAGTAGTAAACTAGGCCAGTTGGTAATATTTAAACATGGTTGATGAAAATTAGCCTAAAAAACGGGGACGAAGGAAGGAACAAACACGACAGGACGCAGCTGACAGTGTGTTTGTTCCTTCCTTCGTACTCGTTTTTTGAAGCTGATTTTTATCAACCATGTTTAATTACTACCAACTTCAGCTCCGCCCTGTCGTGTTTGTTCCTTACTTCATTCACGTTTTTTGCAGCTGATTTCCATCACCCATGTTTAACAAATAATTACTTTAATTAAATATTAATGAGAAACACAATTAAGAAAAGATGACGGTATGGGTTTTACACTAATATTCAGGTGAGAAATGATAACCACGAAGAACTGGACACTAACTTAAACAAGAGGGAGATTGTAAACACACAAGCGGCCTTCGTTGTGCTCAAGAAGCGTCGGTCGTTGGCAAGTAGTTACACTATAGCCGGATAGAAGCTATGAGCGGGCCAAATGAACACCACCACGTAACAGCCGCGCCATCGAATCACTCTGCAGGCCAACCAGGAAAGGCAGCTGCTGTAATGTTGGAGGTGTAGAAAAAGGGAAGGATTCGCTTGGATTGAAACGATTGAAACAACAACGAACTGGCGTTTACTCGTTAGTTGGTAGCCACCTTGGAGAGTGTTACAGTTGCCAGACCAAGTCAGATTTATGGCTAGATTCCACTACAGTAGACTCTACAGCTGCGATGACGAGTATCTGAAGTCAGCGCGACAGGCGCCTCGGTAGCGGCCTATCGGCGCATCGGGGAGGAACAGCAGACGGCGGTAAAGAGGGTGCGGGAGAAGCTACTGGCGCACGCTTAGCGTGTATCTGATTATAGATTAGGCCCACTGTTTCAATAGTGCGTATTTTCGACTGAGGGCAGTGAACAACAAGTGCTTACAATTTGAACAGGTCGCTCCCAGAAAACCAGGCTTGCATTTACAAATCCCGGTGGCTGAGTCACAAGTGGCGTTGTTCTGGCACTCGCAGCGATGTCTGCATTCAGGTCCATAAGCACCCGCAGGACAGGCTGAAAGCAAGAAGTTTAGACTGCGTCATTAATATTATTGGTGAGGTCTGTTAACGTCATCTACACACGCTTAAAACATATCGTAAGTATCCACAACTAATCTGCATGTTAGTCTCCCCTTTATGTAAAGGCGGCAATTAAAGATCCATCGCCGAGCAATGAAGGCAGGGTAATAGACCCTTTCAGAGCGCTTGAGTGTGGCTTTAGGCCCTTTCTAAAATTTATGCCATTTGGTGTCTTACACATGAAGTTATCTTTAGTATGCTAATGGTGACTAAATGTATTATTTCGTCGACCATCGCTCTAAGTGCTTTTTTGTGGTGCTCTTCCTGCAAGCAATGCCACGTGTGTCCACACTACCGCGATGGCAAAACGATAAACACGCTGCTTCGTTCCCGTATGTACCACGTGGTCCGTTTTGGCGAGAAAGAAAGATAAGAAAGCCTCCCTCTTTGCCGTTCCCAACGACCACGACGACGACGGCGAAAGCGTCGGCAAGTTTACTCTTGTGTTACGTGAACCACAAATCCAGAATCAACATAGTTTTCTTTCAAAAGTATTTTAAGGGGCGGATATCGCACGCGATACATACTCGCGGAGCAAGAAAGAAACGCAGCGGACGCGATTGGACGATGCATCTCAGTATCGACAGCAGAGCCACCGCTGAACCCTGACCGGCTGCTCATTGTCTCGTTCGCCGATTCTGACACCTTCCCTTCTAGGTGTTGCTCCTAGCCACCAAGCGTAAAACAGAAAATAAAGGTTTTATCGCCGAACTTGTGCCTAAAAACAAAAGATGGAATGATCGTTGACGGCGGCAGCAGCGAGTGACGATGCGTCGGCGTGACAGCTGGCTGTGAGTTGACAAAGCCGCGCTCGGCTCCTTTGCCACTACACTCGGCATCTCTAGCATTTGACCTAGAATGTTCGTTAGTGATCTAGGGCTAGACTGACTAGGCACGGTCATTGCCCCCCCCTTATCTTTTACACTCGGGGTAAGAGTAAACTCGAATCCTCTAGACTAGAGGCACAGAGAAGCGTTCCTTCTTAGTCATGCACGCTTGGAGTCTTACTTAAACTGAAGAATCAGTAGGATTGTTTCTCAGTTTGATGATTACAGTCAGGCAGGTGCGAAACACACATCGAATTGCGAGCTTGAAAAACGAAGTTTGGGGTTTCGATTCACTCATGTTGGAGGCAAAATAATTGTTCTTTCATTACAATACACGTTAACTGCAAAATCAAAAAGAGGGCCCGAAGCTGCTTTGATATCATGTTCTAAATAGATTCATTTCTCGCTGTATTTTTGGCAGATCTCTATTCGTGTGATGATTTTCGTCTGGCACTATCCCGTATCGCACGCTAATGTTTTTTATAAATCTGATTAGTTTTCTTAGGCCCAGCCGTGTTTTAAATAAATACAAAATCAAAGTCGTATCATTCTGAAAACGATTCAAATTGTTGCAGACGGCCATGCCGTCTGCGTTCGTCATGCGTGTGTCGTCTGCAACAGGTATTTCGGGACGTCTCGAGGACTGTTGCCGTCGCAAATATTTCAGAAACAGCCGATTCTCGGCATACTTCTGTCAGGGTAAGTGTGAAACCTAGACTTACTTTATTTATTATTTTTATAGGTTTAAATTCCACACTAGACTTTTGACCGATCCTTCTTTCAAAGCAAAATCCAGTCCCGTGTCCATGTCCCGTGTCCATTACAACGCCCCTAGCAACGGTTTCTTGGGAGTGGTGCCGTCACACTCACGGGGTCAAATTCGTTGTTTGCAAGCACAATCCGAGGGAAACACTACTGGTTTCCCATGCCGAAGATAATTTCAATTGACGTGCTCGGAAAAGGGGGAAAAAAAAACTCCGACACTGTGGATGTTGCGGTTAATTACTTTGCTATGTCGCGCAAGCTACCACCCATTACAGAAAGTTTCTCCACATCTTATTCTAAATCCGCCCATTCATACACTCAGCATAGTTACGAGAGTTCGAAGAGGAGAGTGTAAGATATAGTCCGCTTTTAATTGCCAGAATTTTGTACAAAAAAATTAGGATCCAGGTTTCCTAATCTCGCGTACTAGTTGTATTTTGATCTCATAAACCACCAGTCTCAAACTCATTCGAGTTGGGGGGGGGGGGGGGGGGGTGTCAAATAGCCCACCCCTGAAAGGTGGAGGGCCAGGGGGGGGGGGGCAATATTTTGCTATGGGGGGGTGGGGGGGCAAAAAACAAAGGAACAAGCAACAGTGGAGTTCACGTTGCAAAGCAGCCGACTGCCCCTGCGACACCCTAGTGATTAGGCTAGAGACGAAACCTTTTTGTAAGCTCACCGTTTTTCCACCTTTAACTTTTATTTGCATATGCGACTACTTTAGTCCCCCACCTGATGTTACAATATTTAAAACACCAACGTACTGCTAGTTTTCAATAGAACAATAGGAAGCATACCGTCATTTCCCTGTAGCACAATATAGGCTTAACAAGCATACGGTTGTTTTTTTTCTTGCAATTTTTTATAGCAGCATTTCAAAAAAATACTTGCATTTTAAGGTATTGTGTAACAGCAAGATGCCCGAGCTCATAGCTTTATATTTGACAGTTGCTTCTGTTGAGCAAGAGTTTGTGCAGTCGGGGTGTCTTTATGAGCAAAGAGCTCGCACTTCTAGCCTAGTAGTGGCACATTCCGGTCGATATATATGAGAAACGGATGAGAAGAAAATATTTAAAGGAAGCGAAACTGAGTTCAAAAGAAAGCATAATTGTTCAAAATGTGTGAACACGTGATATGAGCAGAGCTCCTTTTCGGGCGGAAATGAATATACGATATAGAACTATGATTTATGCCGCATGTTGCACTCGAGGCATGGGAACGGGCGCTCTCAGTTGCGGGCCGCGTCCCAGAGAGTTGCCGGCCGCATGCGACCCGCGGGCCGCGTGTTTGAGACCCCTGCCATAAATGATACGCAGTCACTAAAATTCTGTCTAAAATCGTTTCATGGTCCCTTTCGGCAATTCGAGCGTCCTACTAGAGTCCCACTGCAGCCCAAAAACCGGGGTCACACTGCTCATACATCATATTGTCCACAAACGCCTGCCACCGCAATATCCGTGATTCAAATGCCGCGGGCCAAGTTTCTCTTTGGACTCATTGCCATGCGGCACTCGAAGTACGGACCTCGCGGTGTCTCACGTTCGAATCTGTATGCAGACTGTCGCCTGTGTGATATATGAGCAGTGTGACCCCGGTTTTAGGCTGCAGTAGGGTGCCTTCATGTGCGCTTTGCTTAGGGTGGAGACATCTGGCCATTTTGTCTCACACTTTTATTTTTATTTTTTGTTCAGAAGCGCGTGAAAGAACGTGTCCCAGCACGCGCTCGTGGCGCTCACTGTGCTACGGCGACATTTTGTTTTCGTCGATTTCTTTGTATTTTCCCCGTGAGCGCGTGCCGTCGGCATCGGATACTACAAACGGTGGCATCACCCTAAACAGAAGGACATTGAGGCACCCTAGGCTGCAGCAGCTTGCGCTGCTGTCTTATGGCCCATTCACACTGGAAGCGGATTCACGTTCGCAACCGCTTTGCGAACGCGGATCCGCTTCCAGTGTGAATGCGCCATTAGAGACGTGCATTTCTGGCCCGAGAGTTCGTTGTGCGGAGCGTTTCAATGCAGCGACCTCGTGCTCTTGTGCTTGTGGCATTGGTTGCAGTCTCAGTTTAAGGAGTAACCCGAGTTGGAAGCATGACGGCCCAGTGGGTGATTCCCGTTTCGACGCATTCCCATTTCCACCCTCCCGTTTCGGCCCGGCTCAAAACGACCTTCTCGTTTCATCCTTTCCCATTTCGCCCTATCCTGAAGCAACCTACCCGCTTCGCCCATCGTTTGTTATCAGTTAGGTCGGTTCGTTTGTATTGTTCGTTAACAGTTAATTAGGTTCAAGTGTCCAACGTCTGTTTTCCTTGCTGTCCTCACTTCTCCCCCTCCCGAAACAACCTTGGAGACCTGGCGCCGTAAGATAAACACGGCGTCAGGGAGGGCTCACCCGAACATTTACAGCTTCATTGATTTGATCAAACGGGATGAGGCTTTGGCAAGGATCTTTGCAGCAGCTTGCAAAGAGTGGTGCCGTGCGGGCCAGGGGGCTCAAGTGGGTCAGTAACTTTCAGAACTGGAGTGCCGCCTTTCTGATGGCACGATTTCCCTGTTCGACTGTCTCAACAAGGCGAAAGCATTTTCTGGTCTATGATATTTTCCTGTGCGCGCGAGTGTTCAGTGTTTGAAATCGTAAAAGAAAATAAAGTCGGAATCATGTGCCTGTCACCCTGTCTGATTTATCGTTCTCCAAAATATCAAGATCACTAATATGAGGTTTTAGAATAACGTACGCAAGCACTTTGGGTACCCTAAGAATAGCGTCGCGATGGCGACGTTATTTTTAGCTTACCCAATGTGCTTGTGTACGCAAGACTTCATTGTTGAACGTAGCGCAAACAAGCGATCGGCAATGTTGCTCTTCATCTCATAGAATTAAAAGGCTGCCATAAAAATTATTACTGTCTTTGGAAATGCTCATCTGAGCCAGTACTCTAAGCAAAAAAAAGGTGATGCTTGCTAATACCATTTCGAAGTAAAATCTAAAAAAGCGACAAGGTCGTCTTTGCAGTAACGGTGTCGCAGAGTGTGCATAGACCGTTTCGGGGGTGCGCAGTATGGGGATCATATTGAAATAAAAAAAGTAAGTAAAAGTAAGTAAGTAAAAAAAAAGTAAGAATAATGCGTTAATTCGACACTCGCTTGAAAAAGGTGCATAGTTTTAGAAAACATTGGCATGCAATAATATTTCCGAGCATACATTCTTAGGCAGAAAAGCTGCGCAGACCAGGGTTAGGGACGGGACCAGGGTCAGGGACGGGTTCAAACGCAAAGGGTCTTTTGAGTATCGGTTGAAACGGGACGGGTTTAAATGAGAAGGGCGTTTCGGGAATGGGACGAAA